TCATACTCAGTTTCTGCAGATCTGTACAACTTCGAAAGAAATTATGTTATTTCATGATAATGGTTTTGTCCTGTTGTGATTTGCTCGCAGTTTTAACTAATAATCCATTGATGGCCCTTATCACAATGTCATGGTTGACGGAAAAGTTGGATGTAAATGCCAGATGGGCTCATATTTCCTTAAGATCAACACGTATTTTCCTTGTTTTTTCATTTTTCACTCTTTTGGTGATGAATATCGATCGATATTAGGCGACATCTTATCCTATCTTGTCTATCTTTCATCGAACATCGGTAACGAAGGGAAGACTTTTAACTCCTCTTGCAATACTGATCATCGTCCAAGTAGTTCTGGAAGAGATGTCTGTAAACGACTTTGTTATTTCCTACCAAGTGCATCTTCTAATTAATAGTATTCTTCTCATTCCTGCAATGTTATTTATCAACTACAAACTGTTTCTAGTCGTTAGGAAAAGTCGTAAAAACAAAAGAATATCGCCCGATATGAAAAAGACGCTTTCTTTGAAAAATATATCGAGTTGTTTGCTTTTAGTCGCTTTTGTTGTGATGATATCCATTCCAATGCTGGTCTACATTGAATTAAGAATAAACTCGCCAGAGACAAGAAATACTTTGGATAATGCAACCCTTGCATGGAACTGGGCTAGAACCATATTGTTGATAAATTGCCCATTTAACTGATTAATCTTTTACTGGAAAAACAAGGTGTTACGTACCGAAGGATTGGAAGCTCTGAAAAGCCTGACAATAATCAAAATATGTCGACGGGTTGAATCCTAGCCAGTGGCGTAGCCAGCCGACAATTTAGTCCCGCGATATGTGAATTCAAAATTATTATCATTATTCATTTCTTTAGAAATTAATAGTTTTCATAGTCGATGAGCACGAAAACATTTACATAGCGGGACTAAATTGTCGGGCTGGCTACGCTACTGAATTCCTAGCTGCATTAATAACCCTTCTTCAAAAAAACTTAATGCTCGAAGGAAACTCACTAGCAATATCTTGGTCATAGTAAACGTGAACACAACGAACTATAAACTTATATTGTTGTATATATTAATACACATATCATCATTACTATAAGAGAGACAGTAGCTGTAACTAGGGTAAATAAGGCACAATGCTTGTAATTGCATCCATTCCTGAAGATGACTAAAATATAGTCGAATAAAACGTAGATAAATGAAAATGCTTTCATTTCTTTAAATAATTTCATTATTTACAGGTTGTATAAAAAATTTGGCATGTTATTGTGCGTTAAGTATTGGCTATATGTGGATTTAATTTTCCCATTCTAATAAAGATTAGGCGTTTAACTATCGAATGAGATATTTTTCTATCATTGGGTTAAAACTGAACTAACACGACATCGCCATCACGGAGCATTGGCATTGGTCGAAAAATTTATTTATAAAGTAGTATATTGTATAATTACTTTCTTATTGTGAGTTGGTTTAGAATAACATAAAAACATATAGTTTTTAATGTAAAAATCAAAAGAGAGACGCGAGCTTGTATTTCTTTTTATTTCGTAATTACTGACTCAACGAAACGTGCTTTTTTGCTTGAGCCACTTGTACTTTCAAAACGTGTACAAACTTTCATTCACATGTCTCACCATCGCACCTGTTCTCAAGTTGTTTTGGAAAAGGCAAAACTGCAATTGCAAACTAATAATATATGTTGAACAAGAACTATAGATAGTCATGCACTTTACACAACTTTAAAATATCACATTTAACATTTTTATACACTACGGCTAGCGAAAAAACAAATTACTAAAATTAAAAAATAAATTATAAAAATTAATAAAGCTTTTAGCATTGCACGTTTGAAATTGATACAATAATAATACGAAAATTTCGAGTGTAAATTTTATACATTTATTAAGACCCAACCAGGAGCAGTTGTGAAAAATGCAACTATATATAGACCCTCTGGCAGGAATCGAACCTGTGGTTCTGCGATTCCGGTGCAGCGCTCTAACTGAGCTACAGAGTCGACCTGGATAGTTCATCATAAATGTACAAAATATACACTGGAAATTTCCATCTACAAAATCCTTCAACAATATTGTTCAATCAACTGAGATGCTCAAAATTCATCATAATAATATGACCGAACTCCTCCCCGCTTGAGCCCCACACTTTTCTTCAGGATCTATTTTGCAATCCTTCCAACTCTTAGGACAAACTGAGGCGGGGGCCGCAACCTCTTAATGTTTTAATCCATGATATAATATATAACGAATCTGTGCAAGGCTTTCAGATTATCATAAAACGTGTCTAAAATGCATGAAAATCCTAAAAATTTCGGGACACCAACACCCCTCCCGCTCCCCGCCTCTGGGGGTGGCCACGCCACTGCCCTCAAAACTACAGAAGCTCCCCATCACTAATTGATATATCAATAGATTGGTCTGTGGACGTGACATTGATCAGCATAATACTTCATGTATAAAGTATTTGAAGTTCGAAAAGTCAAAATGACAGTGGACACATTACACTGCGTCTACAGTAAGTGGGGCCACTTAGAGAACACTAACCAATCATATTGCAGAACAGAAAGTGAAAAAATCAACAAACGGCGCATTAGCCAATCAGCATTAGGCCAAAAACAATTTGAACAAATAAACGAATGTCAAACGGTAAAAATAGACTTGTAAAAGTAAACACTGCAGTTAATGGCTTCCTGAATCTTTCTTTTGATTGGACGAGCTTTAGTTTGAGTAGATTTTTCTTTTTGTTCTGCAGTGCGATTGGTTAGTGTTCTCTAAGTGGCCCCACTTACAGTAGACGCACTGTAATGCTTGGATTTTAAAACGTACAATGTCAAAAGGATTTTAAATTTACTTTGCTGTAGTATATAAATAGGTCTTATGCAAAAGATATGTAAAGTATATATATCATTCTGTTCTTACCGTTTCTAATTTTGGAAAACAACTTAAAAGCAGTTACTTTGCCGTGGTAATTAATAAAAAGGTCTTACTTATGCTAAAGTTATATAAAGTACTTATCATTCCGTCAACATGTATAATTAAAACCTACCTTAATAGATATTACTGTTTGCAGTTTTGGAAAACAACTCGAGAGCAGGGCGAGACATTTGTTTTGAGGGGACAGATGGCCCAAAGCCAACAGCACGTTTCATCTTACTGCCGAGTTAAACACATTGTAAGATGAGGATAAAAACCAGCCTAAACCTGCTTATTCAGTTCTAAACTGTTTTCCCTAGCGGTCCAGCAAGGGTCATCTCTTATATTGATTCAGGATCACTACAGGAGGAAACTTAAACTAACTTTATTTATATTGCATAGATAGCTCCATCAGTTCTAAATCAGTATGATGAACGCATTCTCTGTTGTATATAACAGCCACTCGCCTGCGGCTCGTGTTTGTACATCTTATATAGCACTGCCGTTCATGTGGTATTTTTACATACAAGCTTCCATGAGCTTGCGTGTACTTACGCAATATTTTCAAACATATCTAGGCACAGAGGTATAATCTCTTCTTCATATTACCATTTTATGACAGGAAATGTATAATAGGTTTTGTTTGTGGAAACACCACGTAAAATTTGTGTTTCCACAAACAAAACCTATTATATTTTATCACCATGCAAACATACAAAGAACTTATAGGAAATGTATAGTTTACTTGTATATGTCATTTATACACTCGAGTACTTGAAGTTCAGGTGTCATACTTAAACACAACGGTTTTAGTTTTATGTTTAATTCTTCAGAAGACGTCGCTCGAAATGGAATCTTATTATTTTATCAGTCTGATATTCATATTTGGTGTGAATGTATTCTTCTTTTTCTCAGGAATATCTTTAAATTCCTTGGTCATACTCAGTTTCTGGAGGTCGGTACAGCTTCGAAAGAAATTATGTTATTTCATGATAATGGTTTTGTCCTGTTGCGATTTGCTCGCGGTTTTAACTAATAGTCCATTGATGGCGTTTATCTCGATATCATGGTTGACGGGAATGTTGGATGTAAATGCTAGATGGGCTCATACTTCCACAAGTTCGACACGTATTTTCGTTCGGTTTTCATATTTCGCTCTTTTGGTGATGAATTTCGATCGATATTTGGCGGCATCTTATCCTATCTTTCATCGAACGTCGGTAACGAAGGGAAAACTTTTAACTCTTCTTGCAATACTGATCATCGTCGAAATAACTTTGAATGTGATGTCTTTAAACGACTTTGTTATTTCCTACCAAATGCATGCTATAATTTTTTCCCTTTTTCTCATTCCTCCGATGTTATTTATCAACTACAAACTGTTTCTAGTCGTCAGGAAAAGTCGCAAAAACAAAATAATATCACCCGAGAGGAAAAAAACGTTTTCTTTGAAAAATATATCGAGTTGTTTGCTGGTAGTCGCTTGTGTTGTGGTGGTCTCCATTCCAAGGTTCGTCTACATTGGATTAAGAATAAACTCGCCAGAGACAAAAATTAGTTTGGATAATGCAAACCTTGCAAGGATGTGGGTAAAAACCACATCTTTAATGAATTGTACATTTAATTGTTTAATCTTTTACTGGAAAAACAAGGTGTTACGTACCGAAGGATGGAAAGTTCTGAAAAGCATGAAAATATGTTGACGGGTTGAATCCTAGCTGCACTAATAACCCTTCTTAAAAAAAACTTATGGCTAGAAGGAAACTGAATTTATATTGTTCTATATATTAACACGTATCTCATCATTGACCATCATTTATATATCATTGACCATGAACTTGTCAGATAAAATTGAACGGGTCCAGAAACGCGCAATGCGGATAATCTATCCCACATTAAGCTATGCGCAGCTTTAGACCAAGCCAAATGTTCGACATTACGCGCAAGACGTGATGCTTTGTGCACAAAAACGTTTGACAAAATGAGACAGCCTGATTCACACCTTAATAATTTAATACCACCGTCTCGAGCCAATGAACACAATTGCAATTTAAGGTACGGAAATAGACTAACACTGTTTCCTTGTAAGACGGAGCGCTTTAAGAAAAGCTTTTTTCCCGCAATATGTCTTCGATCGCATAATTTGTAAATTTTGTATATATAAAAGTACATTTACCTTTCTGTATTACTTCATAGATTCGTAAAACAATTGTTGTAACATAATGCATGTAATACAAGGTACATTTTAATGTTGATAGTTTTAAGCAAATGTTGTAAATAACTTCGCAATTCGCTTTCGAGCGCGACGACTTTATAATAAACCCTTGATTGATTGATCGTCACTATAAGAAAGACATCAGCTGTAACTAGGGTAAATAAGGCACTATTATGTTTGTAATTTCATCCATTCCTGAAGATAACTAAAATATAGTCGAATAAAACTTAGAAAAAAAAGAAATGCTTTCATTTCTTTAAATTATTTCATTATATACAGGGCGTGTAGAAAATTTGCCATGTTATAGTGCGTTAAGCCTGCAGCACACGAGAGCTATCTGCTGAGCAAAAAGTTACTCGTGCCTGTTAGCTTAGCCGATAGCTCACCGTGTGCGCGTACATTTTACTGAGTGTTTTGCCTCATGCAACCTTTTCTCACGTATCAAACATGTTTGACCGGTGAGCTATCAGCTGAGCTAACAGGCACGAGTAACTTTTGGCTCAGCAGATAGCTCTCGTGTGCTGCAGGCTTTAAGTATTGGGTATCAATGCGTTAAAAACTGAACTAACACGACCGATTAAAAATGGCCAATTTCTCTGCCGTGACTAGATTGTTCTTATTTTGATTATTTGAAAATTCTTTTGACAGCTATTCTTGGCAATTAAATTTACAGATGATTTAACTTGCGATTATAGACAACGAAATTTTGTGGATAAGACATTTTACGAAACCTGAAGTTTGTAGAAAACTTGCAATGTCTATATAATGTTTCTCTCATATATAGCAACCTCCATTTTGGTAAATGTTTGAAAATTCTATGTATATATCGACCATCTGATCTGCTCGCCATCATGGAGCATTGGCATTGGTCGAAACATTTATTTAGAAAGTAGTATAGGCCTATTGTATAATTACTTTCTTTTGTGAGTTGGTTTAGAATAACATATAGAGATATAGTTTTTAATGCAAAAATTGAAAGCGAGACGTAAGCTTGTATTTCTTTTTATTTCGTAATTAACGACTCAACAAAAAGTGCTTTTCGCTTAGACCACTTGAACTTTCAAAACAAACTTTAATTTACATGTCTCACCATCGCACCTGTTCTCAAGTTGTTTTCGAAAAGCCAAAAATGCAATTGCAAACAGATAATTTATCTTGAACGAGAACTATAGATAATCATGCACTTTACACACCTTTAAAATATCGCATTTTTGTATACTACTGCCAGCAAAAAAACAAATTACTAAAATTAAAAATAAATTATAAAAATTAATAGCACGTTTGAAATTCATGCAATAATAATACGAACATTTCGAGTGTAAATTTTATACATTTATTAAGACCCAATGAGGAACAGTTGTGAAAAATGCAACTATATTTATAGACCCTCTGGCAGGAATCCAACCTGTGGTCCTGCGATTGCGGTGCAGCGCTCTAACCAACTGAGCTACAGATTCAACCTGGATAGTTCATCATAAATATAAAATCCTTCAACAATATTGTTCCATCAACTGAGATGCCCAAAATTCATCATAATAATATGACCGAACTCCCTCCCCCGCCCCAGGCTTTTCTTCAGAATCAATTTTATAATTCCTTCAACTCTTAGGAGAAATTGGGGTGGGGTGTAATCTCTTAATATTTTCATCTATGATACGAAATATACCAAATCTGTACCTTTCAGATTATCATAAAACGTTTCTAAAATGCATGAAAATCCTAAAACTTTTCCGAGAGACCAACTCCCCTCCCGGCCTCCACCTTTGGGAGTGGCCATGTCCCTGTCCCCCACAATTACAGAAACTTCCCCATCACTACACGCGTAAAAACGCTTAGGTTGTTGCAATGCTGATGAAAACAGTATCGAACAATGTTTTGCTGCCCACATTGTTCACAGTTGTCAACAATATTGAACAATATTGTTACACCCGATTCAGGCTCAATAGTATTGTTCAATATTGTTGACAAGTGTGAACAACGTGGGCAGCAAAACATTGTTCAATCCTGTTGGGCAACGGCCTCGGCGTTTATTGCTGTGTAATAAAATATATAAACAGTTTGGTCTGTGGACGTGACATTGATCAGCATTATCCTTCATGTAGGAGGTCTTAGAAGTTTGAAAAGCCAAAATGACACTAGTGGACATATTAATACTTGGATATTAAAGCGTACAAAAGGTTTTTAAATTTGGTTTGCCGTAGTATAATATAAAAAGTTCATACATAAAGTTATGTAAAGTACATATAACTCGAGAGCAGGGCGAGATATTTATTTTGAGGGGACAGATGGCCCAAGCTAACAGCACGTTTCATCTTACCGCCGAGTTAAACACATTATAAGACGAGGCTAAAAACCAGGCTAAACCTATACTTATTTAAAGAAATAAACTTCAGTTCTAAACTGTTTTCCGTAGAGGTCCAGCAAGGATCATCTCTTATATTGATCCAGGATTACTATGGGAGGAAACCTATACAAACTAACTCGTTCTGTGTTGTATATCTGCTGCCTGTTTGTTTAACAGTATTTTTAGTAGAAGTGTCATCCCAAAATATCTTGAAATACAAAAAGGGCTAATGAGTTCATCTACATTACCAGGTAGAGTAAATTCGGCCCCTGAAAAGGAGACAGAATCGACTGCTTCTGGTTCCTAGTTTTTTTATGTTCCTTCTGTACGTCTCATGAATCCTTATCCTCGTTTTACTGCCACTTAAGTGTGTTATTGTCATAAATTAAACACAGGCGTCACCATCTTGTGCGACTCCAACGCAATAATACTCTTCAAAAATATTTTTCGTGCATGTATTCGAAGTTTAATGCACAACGGTACGTGTTATTTCAATGTAGTTAATTCTTGAGAAGTCGCTCGAGGATGGAATCTATCAACCTCATATTCATACTTGCTGTGAACATATTCTTCTTTTTCTCAGGAATATCTCTAAATTCCTTGGTCATACTCAGTTTCTGGAGATCTGTACTGCTTCGAAAGAAATTATGTTATTTCATGATAATGGTTTTGTCCTGTTGCGATTTGCTTGCGGTTTTAACTAATAATCCCTTGATGGCCCTTATCATGATGTCATGGTTGTCGGGAAAATTGGATGTAAATGCTAGATGGGCTCATGTTTCCTTTAAATCGCCAGGTATTTTCCTTGGTTTTTCATATCTTGCTCTTTTGCTGCTGAATTTTGATCGATATTTGGCGACATCTTATCCTATCTTTCATCGAACATCGGTAACGAAGGCAAGACTTTTAACTCTTCTTGTGATACTGATCATCGTCCAAATAACTTTGAAAGTGATGTCTGTAAACGACTTTGTTATTTCCTATGAAGTACATAGTCTAATTCTTTGTATTCTTGTCATTCCTGCAATGTTATTTATCCAATACAAACTGTTTCTAGTCGTCAGGAAAAGTCGTAAAAACAAAAGAAGATCAACCGATATGAAAAAGACGCTTTCTTTGAAAAATATATCGAGTTGTTTGCTGGTCGTCGCTTGTCTTCTGGTGACATCCATTCCATGGTGCGTCTACATTGGATTAATAATAAACTCGCCAGAAACAAGAAATACTTTGAATAATGTAACCCTTGCAGGGCTCTGGGCTATAACCATATCTTCGATGAATTGTACATTCAACTGTTTAATTTTTTACTGGAAAAACAAGGTGTTACGTACTGAAGGATTGAAAGTTCTGAAAAGCCTGAAAATATGTCGACGGGTTGAATCCTAGCTGCACTAATAACCCTTCTTAAAAAAACAACTTAAGGTTCGAAGGAAACTCACTACCAATATCTTGGTCATAGTAAATGTGAACACAACGAACTGTACACTTATATCAGTGGCGAAGCCAGCCCGACAATTTGGTCATGCTATGCAAATTATAAATCATTATCATTATTTATTTCTTTAGAAATTTATTGTTTTTACGGTCTGTGGCCACGGAAATATTTGCATAGCATGACGAAACTGTCGGGCTGGCTTCGCCACTGACTTATATTGTTCTATATATAATACGCATATCATCATCACTATAAGAAAGACAGTAGCTATAACTAGGGTATATAAGGCACTGTTCTGCTTGTAATTTCGTTAAACATGACTAAAATATAGACAAGTCGAATAAAACGTACAAAAATAATAATGCTTTCCTTTCTTTAAATTATTTCATTATAAACAGGGTGTATAAAAAATCTGCCATGTTCTTGTGCGTTAAGTATTGGCTATATGTAAATTTAATTTTCCCATCCTAATTAGGCCTTTAACTAACGAATGAGATATTTTTCTATCATTGCGTTAAAATTGCAATTATTGTTGAAATTATTCTCTGAAAGAATAGTCAAAATTCAAAAGAATAACAAAGAACAGCTGTCAAATGAATACTCAAATAATCAAAATAAGAATAATCTAGTCTTGGCAATTAAATTTAAAGATGATTTAAATCGCGATTAGACGACGAAATTTTGTGGAAAAAAATTTTACGAAACCTGAAGTTTGCAGAGAACTTGCAATGCCTATTTAACGTTTCTCTCATATACAACGACCTCCATTTGTGCAAATGTTTGAAAATTCTGAAAATATTTTGCGACAGCAAAGGTAGCAAAAATTGTTTTCAACAGTCGAACATGTATATATCGACCATCTGCTCGCCATGACGGAGCATTGCCATTGGTCGAAACATTTATTTAGAAAGTAGTATATATTATTACTTTCTTATTGTGAGTTGGTTTAGAATAACATAGAGACATATAGTTTTTAATGTAAAAATCGAAAGCCAGAAACGAGCTTGTATTTCTTCTTATTTCGTAATTAATGACTCGACAAAACGTGGCCTCACTTGGGACACTTGTACTTTCAAAACAAACATTCATTTACATGTCTCACCATCGCATCTGTTCTCAAGTTGTTCTCAAAAAGGCAAAACTTAAATTGCAGACTAATCATATGTGTTGAACGGGAACAAAAGGTAATCATGCACTTTACACGACTTTAAAATATCATATTTTTAAACACTACGGCTAGCAAAAAAGCATATTACTAAAATTAAAAAAAAAATTATAAAAATTAATAAAGCTTTTAGCATTGCACGTATGAAATTGATACAATAATAATACGAAAATTTCGAGTGTAAATTTTATACATTTATTAAGACCTAACCAGGAGCAGTTGTGAAAAATGCAACTATAATATATAGACGCTCTGGCAGGAATTGAACTGCGGTTCTGTGATTCCGGTGCAGCGCTCTAACCCACTGAGCTACAGAGTCAACCTGGATAGTTCATCATAAATGTATAAAATTTACACTCGAAATTTCCATCTACAAAATCCTTCAACATTATTCTTCAATCAACTGAGATGCCCAAAAATCATAATAATATGGCCGTACTCGTGCCCCACAATTTTCTTGGAGATCAATTTTATAATTCTTCCAAATTTGAGGAGAAACTGGGGCGGGGTGTAATCGGTTAATGGTTCCATCTATTATATAGAATATACCAAATCTGTGGCTTTCAGATTATCGTAAAACGTATCAAAAATGCATGGAAATCCTATCTCCCCTGAAAATGAGGCAGAATTTACTGCTTCTGGTTCCTTGTTTTTCATGTTCCTTCTGTATGTCTCATCAACCGTCATATTAAATACAGGCGTGACCACCTTGTGCGACTGGAACGCAATAATACTCTCCAAAAATTCTGCTCGTGTATTCTAAGTTTAATGCACAACGGTTCGTGTTATTTCAATGTAGCTAATTCTTGAGAAGAAGTCGCTCGAGGTTGGAATATTATTTTATGAACTCATATAAAGTCAATAATGTAACAGTCGAACATGCGTGCATGTATATATCGAGCATCTGTTGTTTGCCTGTCAGGAAGATGTCTTAAAATATGAAACGTATTAGTACGAAAATGAATGCGACTAATGAACATCACCCAAGGACAAATTAACAAAATTTTTGTTAAATTTGGATAAAAAGTGAATGAGAAAATAGAAAATGTTTCTCTTGCTTTGTCGAACAGAGTAAAATTGAATGCGTAATAAGGTTATTGTATAATTTGTGCATGATATACGTATCTTAATTCCCTGACGGACGTGTGCGCGTGCCGCCTGTGAGTGACCTCTAGTTCTGTAATAATGTCGGGGGTAAATGTGTTTGTTGGGAAAATGCTGCTCTTTTGGTCGCTCCTTTGCGTAAAATATACGCACTTTGGTAGGTAGTGATTCTAATTGATTGTGGGAAACGATTACCGAAAAAAATGTGGTCGAGATTGACCATTAATTGAGACATTTATTGACCGGCCAATGAATAGAGTTATAAAAAGGTTCAACCGACGCCATATTGTGTGTGTTTTTTTTTATTTAAACATATTTTATTCTCAACATTTTCTCCAAGAGCTAGGCTCATCGAGGGAGATCATGTTGACTTATTTAAAACATTAGAGTACATCGTGTTTAAATAAAAGGTATACACAAACATGATAAAATAATTATAAAGAAAAACAAGTATAGTTAAGCTCAGTGAGGAGATCTCAAAACCTAAAGATAAGTTATTACGTATTAATATTCAGTTCAATTAATAAATCGCTTAGTTTGGAGAATAAACAGTTGAACATTCCGCATCAAAATTTGATTATCTTCATAACCAAGTATTTGTGAACCATATAGAAATGTTTCGACTATCTGATCTTCCGATAAGCTCAACCACGTAGCGTGGAGCAACTGTGCAGACGAGGAAAGCAAGCATTGTCGCTGAGCAGCATATCGGGGACAGTGCAGAAAGGAATGTTTAATTGATTCCACTATTCCCCATCTACATTTACAATATGGAGAAATTGCACAGTTAATACTATATAAATGCGAATTCAATGCACAATGCATGACCTAGGCGAAGTCTACTATGTAGTATTGAACTGTATCGATTTAACGAGGTGTTGTAGAGAGTATTATATTTCATTCCATAAAATACATTATGTGGTTTTAAGAACGGATCAGAAGAGGATGAGAGTGAATGAGAGTTGGCAGTCACGTGATCTTGGTTAGCTGTTCTTAATGCTTTCCCAACACTATCGTGTATTCTATTTAAGTTAAAACCGTCAAACCTTTATTTTGTTAATCTAGAGCTTGAAATGTCCCTGTGACTGCGCGTGACTGGTAACTCTCATTAACTCTCATTCTCGTTTCACTGCCACTTAACTGTGTCATTGTCATAAATTTAGAACCACCTTGTGCGACTGCAACGCAATAATATTCTTCAAAAATATTGCTCGTGTGTTCGACGTTTAATGCACAACGGAACGTGTTATTTCAATATAGCTAATTCTTGAGAAGAAGTCGCTCGAGGATGGAATCGTATTATTTTATCAACCTTATATTCTTATTTGCGGTGAACGTACTCAAAGATGGCTAAAGAATTCTTCACATCAAAGGTCTTTTGGGTCGATGCACGGATGCATGAGGTACACGCGAACGTAAGAAAAATAACTGCATTCTCTGCATCAGTGCTCAGTAAAGAGGTTCACGTCTGACTTCTATCTCACTACACATATGATTGGTTAATCAGGTAGATTAATGCCTGCGGCAGTTGTGGTAGTCGACGTCAAATCTGAACCTCTCTATTTATCCCAAGAATAGAATTTTGCTGACAGGATTAAAAACCACGGATTCTGAAGCATGATGTATTAACAAAGCATTTTAAAATATGGTTATATAAACAGAGAATTACGACTATTTCTCACTGCCAAATTTACGAATTAAGCACACAGATTTCGTCCTTACATTTGTTCGAACTACTGCAAAAGACCCATGTATTGTCTCAACAAAACCCCTGTAATTTGTGCGTGATTCAATATCTGTAAATTGAAATCTGGAAAAAAGCATGGATTAATTCCTGATGCAGTTTTTAAAGACCTGCTTCATATGCGAAAAATTAATCGATTTAATTCATGTTAGAAAGTTATAAGAGCGGTGAACAGAACAGTCACCCAGGCAATGCAGCCTGGTCATTTCCCATTGCTTTTAACCACTAACGCTGTGCATCGAGTACTGACGCACAATAAGTAATGCACACATGCTGACAGACAGGATACGTGAGTCAAAAATTACTCTAGTTCTTATTTACAATTTGTTGTTTGAAGTTTAAACAGTTTTATTTTCCTATAGTTTGTTATTAAGCTACTAGCAATATACAATATAAAAATTTTGAAATCGGCAAAGATGAATTGGAATTTCATACAGTTGTGCATATATAACCTACATAAAAAACCACAGACTTTCGTATTAGTGCTTCGTTATATATCGATATGAATTCGGTTGTATGTATTTATATATTTCACTAGAAGTTACTATCGCAAGGAAAGTGCTGCCTCACCCCCAACGGATGGCAGCATGCTCAATTTGCTGAATAAGGGCATGGGCGTACCCATGTTTGTTGGGCAGTCGGGCAATATTCGCTGAACAGTCGGGCAATTTTGGTTAATTAAAGAAATAAATGGGACAAATTCTGTAAATTTTGTGGACAATTTTGTGATGTTTCAAAAATTTTTGTAGGTTTCGGAAAATTTTGGTATGTCCGGAAAAATTTTTTTGACCCCTAAAATGGTACACTGACCGATTTTTTTTTGGCGACGGGGGGGGGGCGCAAAATCCGAAAAAGTCGGGCAAATTTCTTGCCGCCCCCCTAAATTTTTCCTTCCGGTACGCCCATGAATAAGGGGCTGTTTATAAGATCCCGCATTGCCAGGACGACATATGAGGCAGGATGATTTCGATGTATTGAAATGAATCACAGTGTACAGTTCAGCAAAAACATCTTCTGGAGATAGCAACAATAATAATCTTCTTGAACTACAAGATCTTCTCTACAATATTTGAGTTCTGTTAACAAGCATTTGAACGTTGGCACAGAATGAGGAAGGCTACGGTTTAGCCTAGTGACTTATTCAAATACATCAAAAATTATCCCACCATGTAAACAGCCCTAAGACACTTCAGGAGGTAGGAAACGTGCAATTTGAATATCAAACACCTTGCACAAGGTCAAAGGTCAGCTAAATATTCTAAATTCTACTTTCTTGCCATGGGCAGTTTTCTATGAATACCTTCAACACTTAAGCCCTGGGCAAACTAGGAAATACTGTTGCGGAAACATAAACAAAATTTGCTTCCCAAAAAGCAAAAATGTTTCGCAGCAAATTCAGAAACATTTGATGTTTTCTATGTTTCTCACTAATGTTTCACTCTTGGAAACATGGCAAAACATTGGTAAGAAACATTGTTTCCGCAACAATGTTTCCTAGTTTGCCCAGGGCTTTATAACTTCTTCCTTTTGTATGTATAATTATAACACTGTCAGTGGTGAAGTTAGCCAAGCAACAGGCCATGCTATGTGAGTTTTTAATGCATTTGCATTATTCAAATAGATGCAAGGTCGGCAAGAGCCAACCACAGGCCACGGGACAAAATGACGATTGGTGAAACTGGGCCCTCTGTCCCTCTCGACTCTCCTGCTGGCTATTTTTAATCGCAGTCAACGAGAGAATTGCCAGTGAATTACTTGCAAGAAATCACTGCATAACTGATAAAAACGCAATGTGAACGATGTTCAGCTAACTGTTTTTGCTGAGAAAACGATCGAAAAATCGTCTATTTCACATCTGGTACATTTTCGAAGTAGGTGTATTTCATTTAGGACAAACATAAAGAGATGATAAACAATACGAAGATTTTACCGAGATTTGCGGGCCCCTCTGAGCACTCCAGGCATTTTGCCCCCCCCCGTCTCGCCGGCCTTGAATAGATGCAGGTTTATTGTCGTGGCATGACCAGTTGCCGTGGTAGCTAGCTTGCCAATGAATACTGTACAAAATCATATTATATATAAACGATAATAATATTTGAATGAATCATGTAGAATTTAATAACCATTTCATATATAGAAATAGTAAGTCAGTTTTTGTCCCAAGTATTGTTTTAATATAATGGCACCTTCAAGGCTGCCCCTACTGCAAAACAACTGAACAATCTGCTGATGCCTGTTGCCGTGTTGGGGAGACAAAATCTATTTGTTGACAGTTTTGTTTCATATGTCAGCTTCTGATGACAACATTCACTTGTAATATGATTAAGATTGTACTCAGTCTCAGTCACAAGAAATTTTGAGCATTATCAAAAAATATAGTATACCCTGAGTACTGTAGTGACACAGCAAGGTGAATATTTATCATTTATAAACCCTCCGCTCGGGGGATTCGGCGATATTTCCCTCAGTGATGATATTTTCCGAGGGGCTTTTATACCGAAAGTTAAAGAACTCACTAAGTTCAGAATAAAGTTTTTTAAATAAAACTTGCTGAATATCATAAAATACGCGATACAATTTTTAATTTCTTATGTATACCTGAGTTTTTGACGTTTCCTCTTTAAAATATTTGAGCATGTATCATTTGGATCATTAAAGGTAACATACGTCTTGAAAATGTTTTGTTAAGTCAAATATTCTGTACGAAAATACGAAATTACAAACAACAGCTCGCGAACGCCATATTTTTTTCAGAGCGTGGTGTCCACGCGTCACGCGTGAGCGTGGGATACTATAATCTCCCACGGTGGATACGGTGAAATACCGTAAAAAATCACATTATCACGTGGTACAAATGCTGTTTTTTCATTGGACAATTTGAATTTGAGGTGTAATATATAAATGTAGGCTGGTAGGATTATTTCATATTATGCTAACAATCATTGGACACATCTCAGAGATATATTTTTACAGACAGTCATACTTTTACAAAAGTCGGTTGACATGTTTAATAATACATATAACTGCTGGTGAGTTACTATGTGCAGACAACAATCCACACTGGGTTGCTATAGGAACATCTTTGTACAAGTCAGATCATTTTTTCTTCGTATACAATTGTGTCAATGTGTGTTCCAATAGTGGATTCATTCGTTTCAATGGGTAAAATAATTCGACCAAAACACATTGTTATTTGTGATCAAACGTTCATCTTACCTTGAAAAATATTTTCGATAAATAGCCAGACGTAAAAAATATTTCGATAATCAGCCAGACATAAAATTTGCAGCAGGCTGGAATCAAAATTTACAACAGGCACGAGGCAACGTGTTATTTACATTTTACAAATTGTATTATAATATAGCAATTGTAGATTCTGAACGCTGATTGGCTAAGAGCCGTGTTGACATATCTCAATGTCAACACGGGAAATTTTCCGCCGCTTGTAAACACGGAAATGTTTCTTATCCTTCGGGCTTTTGACATTGCTATATTATAAAAAAAATATAAAACATTTTTTCCGTATTGATATATAGTTATATCAACACTCGTGGAAGTTGGGAAAACTCGAAATTGTATGAAAACACTCCGCCCTTCGGGCGTCGTGTTTCCATACAATTTCTCGTTTTCCCAATTCCACTCGTGTTGATATAACTGTATATCAACACGGAAAATGTTTTATATTTGTTAAATAATCCATGGTGGTGTTCGCGAGTCTCAGCCAGGGTATTCGGAAAGTCAAATCGCGATCCATGCAAGATCGCGATCTGGAGTATGTTATTTAAATTTCTGTGACGTCAAAATACGTCATAAATCTGATCATCCGTACAAGATTCCCAAAAATGACTTGTTGAATCCACATAACTCGCGAACCGGAAACGGACTAGTGCGAGAAAAACACATCGTCAAGAATAGTGTGCTGCCTTCGGCAGCAATTAGTATTTACACAACATTACTGGTACCTGTGTTGTCCAGTTTCGCTTTCCTTAGTGATAGAAAATCATATTCTAACATATCAAGATATAACTGACAAAGAAGAAAACGCTACATCGTCATATAATAATGTAAATTTGAGACGCAGGGATTGTAGACAGTGGACTACACAAACACAGTACGCTGTGAAAGGCAGAAAAAAGTTATTATCGACGTTAGAACGAGAGCAGATAAATACTTCAGGTACTACTAGTTTGTAATTTATATATAGTATATAGTTGGGTGAAAGGTTTTTTATTTATGTTTGATAATAAGCCCTGTTCCTAAATTTGCTAAAACATGTGTCTAATATTGGTCCAAAAAAGTATTAAAGTGAATGCTAAGACTTCGAATTCCCTTTTGGTCGTTTCCTCACTTCCCTTGTGGTCGTTTGAGCACTCTGTCCCCATTGCACTCTGCGCATGTCTGAATGCGTTGATGTCCTCGTGTTGCATATATATATATATATATATATATATATATATATATATATATATATATATATATATATATATATATAAAAATCAATCAATGATACATCATTTTATTACATTTCGGGGCAAGCCCCTTCTTCAGATTACATGTGTACACTTGATTTCAACAATTTAAACTGTCCATACCCTAATTACAATAATTCGCATGATTAACTCTATTGTTCAAACAAAGTCTTTTAAATTCAACCCATGCGGTTCAAACGAATTCAGTTTATATGCCCCAAAACCTTCTCTTTGTGTGGGACATGCAACATTAGTTTTATCAATAATTTTAACTTTCACATCTTGCATACCATTATGACCTTGATCAAAAAAATGAGCATACAAACCGCATGGGTTGAATTTAAAAGACTTTGTTTGAACAATAGAGTTAATCATGCGAATTATTGTAATTAGGGTATGCATGGACAGTTTAAATTGTTGAAATCAAGTGTACACATGTAATCTGAAGAAGGGGCTTGCCCCGAAACGTAATAAAAAGTTGTTATACGAGCTCTGATGTATCATTGATTGATTTATATAAATGTTGGGCTCTAGAGAAAGTTGGCTCAGTGATAGATTTATATATATATATATATATATATATATATATATATATATATATATATATATATATATATATATATATATATATATATATATATATATATATAGTTTTTCGTTTTACCTCAAAAAACCACAACAGTCTGTTTCATCCGTATAGGGATCATCAGGTGGTTGATTCCTATACGGATGAAACAGATGATTCCTATACGGATGAAACAGACTGTTGTGGTTTTTTGAGGTAAAACGAAAAACTATATTACGCTCTATCTATATGGTATTGAGCACTGTTTGTGTTTCGTAAACCAAAATCTTAAGCTATATATATATATATATATATATATATATCCGACTCAGTCTCAACTTTTCCTGTTCACTAAAAAATACTTACTTACGGTGATTAACATATATATATATATATATATATATATATATATATATATATATATATATATATATATATATATATATATATATATATATATATATATATATATATATATGTTAGTTGTGTAATTGTATACTCCGTAATATGTTAAGATGAAAATGTTCTAGAGTGTGTATTATATAATTTCCATACCCAGCGCAAGCAGAAAGATTTTGTCTGCCGCGGCTGGGTCTAAGATCGCGGGTTCAAGACCCAGCCGCGGCAGACAACATCTTTCTGCTTGCGCTGGGTATGGAAATTATATAATACACACTCTAGAACAGTTTCATCTTAATATATATATATATATATATATATATATATATATATATATATATATATTACGGGAAATTTTCCGCCGCTTGTAAACACGGAAATGTTTCTTATCCTTCGGGATTTTGACATTGCTATATTATAAAAAAAATATAAAACATTTTTTCCGTATTGATATATAGTTATATCA